GATCTATGAAGAACACTGCTGAGGGGAGCAGCGGGCGGGTCAGGAGAGGTCTGCTGCACCATGTGGGTCACCTCCGGGGTGGGGATCGAATTCATGCTGAAGTGGCTTTAGCTTCTTAGTGCTGTGCTTTAACCTGGTGCGCCACCAGGGAGGGCCCTGCCCCGTGTCTTTAGGGAGATGAAGGAGCTGGGAGGAGTGGAGCTGTGCCATCTTCCACAGGAGCCCTGATCCAGCCCAGCCTCAGTCTGTGTGCTTGTAAACTGGGCCCTAAACTGTGCTATGTTAATCTACATCCTTTTGAAAGCCACGGTCATGAAAATGCTTGGAAAAACTGTAAGGCATTGACTATAAAAGTATTACTATTGAGAAGTGGCATGCTGGTTAGACTAGTAACAAAGCTTAGCCCCGGGCTTCATATCTTCAAAGGAATAGAACTGTCACTCTGGTTCCAGAGGGAAAACAGAAAGCACAGATTTAGTGTCCCAACCAAGGCTTGTCGACTCAGTCCAATTTACTGACCAAAGTGGCATTTGAAATGGGCATGAATGTAAATGTTTTTAAAGAGTAAGCACTAGGTAATTACTTCAATGTTCTCCATTGCAGGGGATTTTTCTGGAAGCTACGTACGTGCTGCTGGAGACCTCACTACCCACCCTCTTCTCAAAAGTCCATTTTGATGGGTGAGACTGTTGTGCTCATTCCTTGTTTCACTCTCTGTTCTGCAGTCAGATTTCTAGACTCTGCTTGCATGGCTTTCTCAGGCCTTTTGTTTGGGTTCTCAATAGTCCACACAGCTAGGTGACACCATGCACTCTCCCTGTCTTTTCCCTTCTGGCTTATTTCCTTTAGTGTCATCCTTGACAAGTCTATCCATGTTGTCAGAAATAGCAGGAGTTCATCTTCATTTAATAGCCGAGTAGTACTCCATGGCGTCCACATGTCACGCCTTCCTGATCCACACCTCTGTTTGGGACACTAGGGTGTTTCCATGGCTTGGCGTTTGTAAACAGTACTGCCATGAGCTCGGGAGTGTAAGTTCCTGAAACTCCTGAATTTCTGCACTTGAAAGGAGGCTGTATTTCCACAGGATATACTGGTTTGACTCAGGTGTTGTGTATGAATGATTAAAATAGTGAAGGGTTAACTTTCATTATTCTTATTAACTCGTAAGGCTTTATTTGGGTTGGCATGGGAGGGCTGATGAAAATGGCTTTGCCATTCTTAAGCCCCCACCATTAATCTTACCCTTTTTTATCTAAAGTTAGTTTATGTCTTTTTTAGTTCTCAGCCCACAAAAGTGGTCACAATACTTTCAACTACCTTTCAGAAAAACTCACTGATTTCAAAGCACATTTTATTGCACCTACTTTTTTATTATGCCCACCCCCCTCCATTTCCAGTACACACATAGGTCAAGGTTATAAAGCCATTTTACAAGAGTTTTTGAAGCAGAGGTGTGAAGCAACGCCCTCCAGCCACAGAGGGGCAGCGCTGGGCGCTCGGCAGACTCTGGTCCCTGCTCAGCTGTCTGCGCAGCCCGGACAGACCCCGGGAGTTGAGATTCCTGGGCAGTGTGGGAGGGGTTCCGCTGAAGCCCTTTGTTTCTTGTGCTTGGAGCAGATCTGGGAGCCAAGGCCGGTGGGGTGTGCTTGCAAGCTTCCATTCGAACCCCCTTCCTGGAGCTGCGGGGTTGAGTCTATGTGTTCAATGGAAAAAAAAAAAAATCTACGAGGACAGACATCTTTCTCACACAAATAAAACCCTCCACAGGTCTCGGGACTGCAGATCAGCTCCTGGCAGGTTAACGCGACCCCCCGCGGGCACTCGGCCCCTCCCACTTTCCACCACCTCTTTTTTGGCTGTGTTCTCATTTCCACGCAGCTTGCAGGGCATGGAGGAGAAGCGTCTCCGCGCAGAGATCGGATACCCAGGGAGGGGATGCCGGGGAGAGGCCTAGTTTGGGATAGAGGAGCTTTGAAGAGGGGTCCCGAGACGTGGGCTGGGGACCACGAGTGGGTGTAAAGGAGGGTGCGGGCGTCAGACAGCCAGGGTCGAAGACGCTGCAGGTCCGTCAACCCCTCACATCCGCACGGGGCTTAGAAGCCCACCTCAAGCTCAGGGTCCTGTGCCCCCAGAACCCCCAGGGTGTGTGCAGAGATGCCCCCGGCGACGCGGGAGGGTTTGTAAGCTCGGAGCGGCTTTGACATTGAACTCCAGCCCGGATGTGTGCTTGTGTGCGCGCGCGCCTGTCCGCGCTCTTGTCTGCGTGTGTGACTCGGGGAGGGGGCCGGGTTTGAAGCTGCAGCAACCTGGTCCCTCCGGGAGTCGAGCCGAGCGCGCCCCCGAGCCGCCGCCCGCAGGAGCTGCGAGCGCTGAAGCCATTCATGATTTTAGTGACGTTATTCCAGGAGTGGGCGAGGGAGGGCGGGGCCTCCCGGGGCCGAGCCCCGCCCCCGCCCCTATAAATACGGCTTCCCGGGCTCTTTGTGGGGCCGCGAGCTCGGTGGAGAACCGAGAGCTCCGTCTGCTCTGCCGACGCAGCTGGCAGTGGGGCTGTCTCCGGAAGGCGGACCGGCGAACGCCCAGTGCCCGCACTCGGCCGCCCGCACCCATCCCTGCCTGTCGCGCCTGTCTGCGCCCGTGACATCCTTACTCGGGACGCAGTGGCCCTTTTTAAGTCACAAGGGCGTGGGTCAGCCTCCCCTAGGACTTCATGTCTGTATATTTCCCCATTCACTGGTGAGTATCTTGCGCCCTCGGCGCGCATCCGTCTCGCGGTGGTGCCACAGGAGCCCCGGCGTCTGCCTGCTCCTCGCCGGCTCCCGTGCGAGGGCAGCCGGCAGCGCCCAGCACTAACCCGCCTCCCAAGCCCAGGCAGGAGTCAACGTCAAGGTTGCAAAGGTGGGGGGTGGGGGTCGGTGATGCTGAAAGCATCCAGACAAAGGAAGTGAACTCGGAGCCCTCGCCTCAAGTGACGGCTAAGAGGATGTGTGTGTGTGTGTGTGTGTGTTGGGGGTGGGGGTGCTGCTGAGGGGAGAACCCGGGTTCACCCTGAGACCCGCTAATAAACCCCCCTATGGGGAGGGTTGCAGGAGGCGCGCGCCCAGCTTGGCGCAGGGGGCTCCCGCTCTCCCGGGCCCCTCCCCTTTCCTTTTTGTTTGGGCGTCGAGGCCGGCGGCAGCGGGGCTGAGCTGGTGCTGCGGCGGCGTTTGCAGAGCTCCGAGGGTTGGGGGAAATACGCTCTCTCCACGCGTAACCCGACTGAAACCACCAACAGCACTGCACCCTCTCGACCCCTTCTCTCTCCATAGCCCGTAAAAAACCGACGGGCCTTTGTGGACGCTCGGCCCGGGGAGGAGCCACCTTCGCGCGGCGCGGTGGTAGAGCCTGGGCGGGGAGGGGGTCGCAGGGGTTTGCACCGGGCAGGCTTCGGGGGCTGGGAGATGTGCTCGTGACGAGCCAGATCCCAGCAGTTGGGACTTGAGTCCCAGCAGCTTCTTCCCTCCTTTGCGGGGCTAGAGGAGGAGCTGCCGGGGGGAGGGGTGGGGAGTGGGGGGTGGCAGAGAAGACAGCGCCCGGGAGCGCGCCTCCAGGTGCGGGGCTCAGAGAGCTCAGCCCCGCAAGCTCTAGCGCCGCGCGGTCCTGTTCAGTCCTGGAACCGGGAAGTTCAAGTTCTCTCCAACTTTTCGGGTCGGCGCCACAGCCCCGAATAAGGGGTCGGGCGCCCCTACACCAGGCACTGTGGGTGATCTTCTGGCCCGTATCTCTGGGCATCGCCTGCAGCCTTTCCGGGACCCGCGAGCAAACTGCCTTTTAGTCCCTGCGCCGAGCCCTAAACTTGCCCGGAAGCCCAACATCTTCTGTTAGCGGCCCCTCCCCCACCCCAGCCTTACTGTTTATAGACAGGAGATGGAACTCTAAAAAACAAAATAAAAATTTCCCCACCCCCTGAGGCTTGTGTGATCTCTCCGGGGTGCCCTTTCCTCCCACCTCCGTGGTGTGTGCCCAGCCAAACACCATATGGTGGGGTCTTCCATGGCTATTGGAGGCTTCGTGTCCCAGTTATTAAAACTTGCAGAGGTGGGTGGTAGGGCCCATCAGGGTTATTATCCCCTGAGAAATTATGGTCTCAGGTTTATTGCAAACTGCTGATTAGCACTTCCTAGTGTTGGTGTTCCCTCTGACACCCCCGCCCCCCAACATTAGGCCTTCAGCATAACTCTGAGGTATGCGCTATAAGCATCATGGTAACAAACAGGCCACCTGTGGCTCAGAGAGGTTATATAACCTGTTCAAGATCACACAGCTCTTGAGTGGCAAAGCTTGGTCAGAAGCTGCTTCTGTTTCCAAATGCAGTGTCAGTTCAGTTCTATATAGTAACCTTACAATGAAGACCCTTTCTTAGGTTTCTCACCTTTCTTTTTACCCCTGCGTCAGCACCATGATGGTGAAGTATTGGAGGTTGTGCAGCGAGTATATTGACTTTGGTGTGCTCTGCTAGACCTTATGCATTCGAGACCCTGTGTGTGTCCATGACTTGTGTGAGGATAATGGAACGTTTGTATCCTGCTTTCAGAGTACAAAGCACTTTCACATGTCTGCCATTGGTGGGCCAGCTTGGCCCCTCTGGAAATTTCCTTTGCAATCAGTCTGGGCATCCTTAAGGCTTTTAATCCAGGAGATGTTTTTCAGGCTGTGTGCTTGCAGCTGCTGTGACTGGGGCTAGAGAAGGGGTTTGGACGGCAGATGTGAAACTTGCAGAAAGCTAACCCCTTGGGGCTCTGAGTGGGACATTTTGCAAAAAGGAACAGCAGAGGACAGAGAGAAATTTAGGAAAGCAGCACTATTGGACGGTTTCCTTGAGGTTGACCTGTTATTATTATGTAATAATAATATGTGATTCCCTTGGAGAAGGACTGCATTGGATTTAATACAGACAGGCAGACTCAACTGCTGACTTTTTTTTCTATCACTTAGAAGGAAGTCCAGAGTCACTCTGCCAGTGGGACCTGTACAGGGGAGAAGGGAAGAGGATGTTTGCAAAGAGGTTTTCAGAAAATGTGCTTGATTGATGGCCGAGAGCCCTGAGGCTCTGGGCTTGTGAGGTGCTGTTCCTCTGGATTCTGCTTTGAGCGCCCCGGTCCACATTGCCCCCCCCCCTTCGTCCCTAGGTCAAACAGCAGAACACACTGTAGGTCGGAATGTGAAGTGCATGTGTGTGTGTGTTGACTTTTGGTCTGGGTTTCTTGGCAGCCCTGACTATCTGAGATCAGCCGAGATGACTGAGGTGATGATGAACACCCCACCTATGGAGGAGATCGGCCTCAACCCACGGAAAGATGGCCTTTCCTATCAGGTGAGTTCAGTTCTGGGGTCCTTTTGGTCCTTTACAGTTGGTAGCTATTGCTGGGTTCTGTGTCTTCATTTGCGGAATGGGACTATCCTAGCTACTGTGACGGTTCGTTTGAGATGCGGGCGTTTGTCAGCCTGGGCCACAGGAAGGACTTAGCAGGCGCCAGTCGATGCTATTAATGCACCAGCCTTGCTGCTGAGGAGTCTCCCACTCAAGATGGCGAAGGGGGAAAGGATTTGTGCATTTGGTTCAGACCAGAGCTCCCCTTCCCAGCCACACCTGGGACAGAGCAACATCGGTCAGGGGCCGCATGGAGGGAAAGTGTCCTGGTGGAGGGATAGCGGTGTCCAGGGTGACTTTCTCTGTCAGGTTGACAGACCTGACCTCAGTTGGTTGACCAAATGAGTTAATGTTCCAACTACTTTGAACTGAGGAGGCCTTTCCCCCCAAGGGAAGGTGTCTCAGGGGTGTGAGGGCTTGACGCTCATCCTTCATGACTGGTCCCAAATGCAGAGGGCCTCAGCCTGACCTAAGTCACACTGGGATCCTGAACCCAGTGCTCTGTCTGGGTGGCCATGAGCTCCATCAGAATGAGCCTGCCTTGACCTCCAGGGAGTAACTTTTCAGGTGTCTGGGGGATCCCTAGGCAATTGTATTTGGGGGGGAGGGGAAAGAGTCTGTTTATAAGTGAAGACATTGGGCCCAGGGAAATTGTCTGGGCATTTGGCCAAGGAAGACGAGGGGGACCATGATAGGCCAGATCCACAGACTGACCCCGTCACTGTGGGACCCTGAGGTGGGACTGCTTGCTCCGTGTCACAGGGGAGGAAGTGGACTCAGACTGAGTAGGTGACTTTGGTGTCCAACTCCAAGCCTTGCTGTTCTTGGAATATATTGTGTACCTGGACTTTGGGTTTGACTCTTGGCTGGGTTCTGGACTTACTTTGGCGAGTCATTCTTTAGAACTGTTCCGGGCATTTATTTTGTAAAAGAACAAATAAATAGAAAACCCTAGTGGGTACAATGGAGACAGGGCCATCAAAAAGATGAAAGGTGAGGTTGGGCAAGGTGACTTGGCAGTGACAGCAGCGTCACCCTCAGACTCACCTGGGAGGCTTGAGAAGGGCCCTTTGTTTGTGTCATTATGGTCAAGGCCCTTTTGCTGACTGGAAATAAGTATTTGGGTGGCCTAAGAGGGAAGAGGGGAATCTTTTGCCTGGTGGCTTTAGACCCTCTTCCCCTAGTGTGGAGGATGAGAGAAGGCCCCACAGCCTGTAGGAGGGTGGAAGTTTCCTGGCTCACCAGCTGGGGGGTTTTGGATACCAGTTCCCAAGCCGCTGAATCAGACCGAACCTCTTTGTGGTTACAGTTGTCTTTCAGCTCTGGGTTTTAGATTTCTGCCCCAGAACCCTTCCGAATAGTCACTGGTATGTCTACGTCCATCTTTCCTGTTCTTTTAAACATGTTCCAGGGAGAAGGGCCAGCTCCTGTGTGCCGTGCTCCCAAGCTTTGAGTCTTTCAGGCCTTTCTGCTGGGTCTGAGCATGAGAACAGGTGACAGTGGGGAGGAGCCACAATTCCAGGTGTGGGAGGCTGAGTGGGCGGCAGGCTACAGTGGCAGCGGGAAAATACAGTCACCGCCGGGCTCCGGAGATGTCTCGGGTGTTACCTGAGGTTTCTCCTTTGGTGCTGGACTGAGGGTCCAGTTCTCAAAGCCTTGGGAAATTTGTCCTTGTTACCTGGGTCTCAAGGAGAGCAACAGCCCAGTTCTAAGATAGCTTACCTAGACTTCAAAGCATTCTTTAACCAAGCAACACTGATGGGCACTTGTATACACAGTGTGTTGCACGGAGACGCTAGGGCATGTGTGGGAAACCAGCATGTACACACAAGCTGGGACCTAGACACTGCCTGGGATAGCAAGACAAACGCTGTGGTCAACCCAGAGCAAACCAGGGCGGGGGGACGAGAAGGCAATCTGCTCGAAAGAGTCCAAGACCTTGGAAGACAAAGATCCCATGAGCTGGAGTTGGAAAATAATTAGAATTTTGAGAGGGCAACCCCAGATCTCCTCTAATTTTGTTGCACCTCCGTAGACCCCCTGTTTATACCAGGTGCGGGGTTCTGCAGGGAGCAGGTCTGACAACTGGCATATGACCCATCATGGCTGGCCCACTCGAAGCTAGTGCCATCCAATTGAACACATTCCCACCGGAGCTCCGGGGATCGGCTGGCACTGTGCGTGGCTGGAGGGAGCCCGTCTGCTGTGCGTGTTCAGGCTGGGCTCAGATCTGGGGGCGGGAGACCTCAGAGTTCTCAGCATTCCTCCCTAGGGTTTATAGTATGTGCTTGTTACTGAGGCCTGCTTTTCCAAGGCACCGATAGTGGGAAGGAGACATCAATCCCAACTTGGCAGATGAAACAGAATAGCAGACTGGTGATTTGACCTTGAAACAAGGTCGTAAAACAAACAGACACTTTGGGCTTTGTCAATCATTCTTCCACCTTCCAGACCTACCAAGAACGAAGCTTGCCTGAGTTCTCTGCCCCAGGTGTGACCCCTTGTTTTCAACACCTGTGGCATTTTGTGCTTTGAAAGGTTGCCACCCTCGATTTTCAGGATACACAGCCTGGCTGGTCTTCTCCCTGCCCAGCTGTCTAAGGGCAGGAGGTGACCTATGACCAGCCTTGTACCCATCAGCTGTCAAGCCTCCTGTCCCCTCCTTGACCTAGGGCCCTCACAGAGCAGGTGCTAAGTTGGAGGGAGATTGTTTCATGGCAGTCAAGTCCCCTGATTCCCAGCTTGGCCACCTTTGGCCCTGCGTTAGGGGTTTACAAGTGCCTCTGCAGCCTCATCAAGGCATCAGATAGAAGACTTTTTAATTCCTTGAACGAGTTGGGAAGGCTCGATCTATCATGCTTAAAAGTTAGTGCGTATCTCAAGCCTGTCTAAAAATGGACTCAGCTGGTACCTTGTCTGGTTCTAACATTTATTTAGAAAGGCAGTTTTATATGTGAGAGCCAAGCCTGCACACTCACTCGGCATGAGTTATGACACCCACCGAGTGGGTGAGTTACTAGAAAGTCTGTGCCCATTAGGGTGGGCTGTGGCTGGCTGCTAACTCACCGCCATGTGGGTGGGCCCCTGGGAGGACTGTCCTGTCCCTGATCGCTGCACTCTTTCCCAACACTGCCTGTGCTTCCTGTCTCCCAGCCTATGTGGTAAAACACCTACCACCTAGCCCTCTTCCTTTCCTTGGTCCAAGAAGTGATGCTGGGGCTGCCATGCCGGGCCCTGCCTTGACTCTAGGGCGCTGAGAACGTGGCCTTTGAGATGCACGTGTCTGACTGGCTCCCCCTCTGTGCTGCCGGGGCCTGGGGCCTGTCAGGGTGAGAGGCTGGGTGTCTGGCCACTGACTGTGCCCGCAGGCGAAGGCTCTGGGCCTGCTGACCTTTGGCCTAACTCCCTTCCCTGCTCAGCCTTCTCCTCCTCCTCCAAGGACAGCATGCAAGTTTCGGCAGCATTATCACTAAGTTCTGGGTAGAGATACAGCCCCTTGAAACTGGCCCTTCTCAAGCATCTGGACCCAGATCTGATAACTTTATCCTTCCTTAGGCTCTTTAAATTCCACTTTGATCAGCACTGCACGTGCTTGCTGCTCTCGCTCTTCCCCTGGGTCACGTCCTCCTGCCTTTCAGCACCCATCCATGTCAGACAGGCTTTGGGCTTCCCTCCAGCGGAGCCGGGCGGAGGATGCCCTCGGAACCAGAGCAGCCAGCACTTCACATGCCACAGGGCCCCACGCCCTTGCTTTCCCTTTGATCCACTGAGCTAAGAGCTGCCTCTCTCCCCTTCCTCTCCCCAAACCGGAGGGCAGGCTCTCCAGGCAGGGAGGAGGGGAGTGGGTCGGCTCTCCTGGCCAGAGTCCTGGCATTTGCTTCTCGCAGCCCCGAGAGCTTTGGTTTGGCTCCACATCAAGCGCAGCTACAGCACTGTGCTGCCTGGGAACCGGCCTCTCCCTGGGCAGGACGGCTCGGCCTCTCATCGCCGAGGCTCACCGATCGTCGACTCCTTTCTCCCCAGCGCCTCACTCTTTATCAGAAGCAGCAATTCCTCCCTCAAAGAGCCAGCTGGTTTCATCACTCCATACCTGCATCTCTTCCTCGCACCTGAGTCCCTGAGCCTGACTTTCCCAGTGCCAGCCCCAGCCCCGGGATGAGTGCTGGCTTGAGCTTTTCCCAGGGCTAAGTCCTCAAGGCTTTGTCTCCCACAGCTCCCCCCCACCACCACCAACATGCCATCTGGGCATAACTTATAACTACATGCGCCCTTCCCCCTCCCCTAGTCTCGGTGGGTATCTCCAGCTGTGCTAACCACCAGCCCCAACCCCCAGGGCTCTCAACAGTTTTCAAGGCCCTACTGAGTGGCCGCATAGAAGTCCCGTGGTGGCCAGGAAATGATCTTTCACAGCAGACTTAAAAAGCCTCCGTTGTCCCCGGAGAGGCATAAAGCTAAGCTCCCACAGCCCTTGGCAGGAGATGTCCAGCCATGGACATGGCATGTTACCGGAATGGCCGCAAGTTTTCTTTCTCTCTTCCCTGCCACTCCGCCCAGCTCCCCGCCTGGTAAGACAATCATCATGTGATGCCAGCTGCCCACAGGGCCGTGCCCAGGAGCCACCTTTCCGGGTGGCGTGGGGCTGCACGCTGCCTCGTCCTGAGTCAGCGCCCCCTCTTCAGATCAAGTCTCCCCCGCACGAGGGACCCGGCACCTTCCGGCCCATGCCCTGAGCCTCACAAACATCGCCTTCACTGCTCTGGAATGCCCCTGGTTCAGGGCCCACAGAGGACTGGAATTATCCCCGTGGGGGATTTCCCCAATGCACACACACCGTGGTCACAACAGTGAGTCTGTACCTGGCCCGGGAGAGAACACACTTCCTCCCCTCTCCCAGCCGGGGCTGCACACTGAGCCCATACAGCCCGGCTTCTCTCAAAGGGCCT